GTCTGTTTGGTGTTCCAGTGTTGGTATTATCCACTACAGCTTCATGAAATCTGGTCAATAGATTACAGCGGATGTCTACTGCAACCAGTTGGACGAAATGATGAGGATGCTTCTGATTAAGCAGCCAAGATTGATCAATTAAAGACAAGCCAGACAATGCTGGACCACATGTTGTACAAACAGCACTGCTCAAACTGCAGAAGCTGGACTTGGAAACTCTCTGTCATCCACCGTATTCACCAGCCCTTGCACCAACTGATTACCAATTCTTCCAGGCTTTGGACCACTTCTTGCAAAGAAAAATATTCAATTCTCAACAAGCTGTGGAAAACGCCTTTCACAACTTCATTGCTACTCGCTCTCCAGGCTTCTTCACTGCTGGCATAAACAAGCTACCATAAGATGGCAAAATTGTGTCGATAGTTTAGGTGCATCCTTTGGTTAATCATACTGCTTCTTGTTTGAAATATAATAAACTAAACTTTTGATTTGAAATAGGACATTTCATATTTAATGACCTAATAGCAATATATTCAGAGTACTTATAAAATTTTTTTGCAGACTTCACGGAGTTTTCAGCCTTGGCTGAAGAGTACAACCACCTGATGAGCTTTAGTATTCTGTCCATTGTGGGCCCCATCCCCAGTGATTCTAATTTCACTGGTCTGGAGTAGGGTCTAGGTGTCAGTACTTTTTTTTTTTAAACTCCCCCAGATGATTTCAATGAGCAGCTATTGATGCTGCAACTTGCTCTTATTACTTCACTTTTCTCTCCCACCCTCCCTCAATCACTGCATTAATTCCATGTTTCCTGACTGTTTCATTAAAAGAATCACCTAGGATGCTTCCTAAAAATGTAGATTACTGGGCCCGACTCCAGGCTTACTAAATCAGAATCTTCAGCAAATTTTTTTGACAAGTGCCTAGGTAAGTCTTATCAGGAAAATGTGGGAAACATTCCATTAATCCAAGTTATCTTAATCCATTTTCAGTTGATTTTTATATATTTTACTCATTTATTTAACAAATATTTAATGAGCACCTAATATGCCTGACATTGTTTTAAGTGCTAGGAATATAGAAGAGCACAAAACAAAGTTCATGTCCTCATGGATGTTATGTCTAAGAGCAGAGTAAATAAGGAAACAATTTAATTTCAGATAGTGGTGTCAGAAAGACCATAAAGCAGGATAAAGGCCAAAAGGTGACAGGAGGTCAGGCAGGCCATTGTTCTAAAAAGGGTAGCCAGGGAGGGCCTGGTTTCAAGACACTGCGTCTGAACAGAAAACTGAGTGATAAGAAACTGCTTACAAATCCCTCTGTAACCACACTTATATAATTTTTATTCTATATGTCTCATGTGTCCTAAAATAGATGGGATTTTCTTATGGTCAGGAACTGTCTTTTATATTTTTGTATTCTCCCATAGCAACCAGTGTAGCACTTTGCACAAGCAAGAACTCAGTGAATCACACTAGACTCAAAAGCATTCCAAGCTTAAATATATTAAGACCTTTAAAGACAGCTAGCAGAGGATCCAGCAAATTACCTGCTTGCTAAGTAAAAGAAAATCCAAGGAAAAACACCAAATCATCAGATACTCAGCCCAAGGCTAGACTTCCTGCTTGCTTTCAGCTGCTAGTCATAGTTGCAGATTCTTACCAGAAAGTCTTCAAAACATGCCAAGCAAGATTGGTTGTCTGTGCGTAACTCTACATTGATGAGATCACACACTGAGCTTCGATTATCAATTTCTGCTGGCATACCATCCCATGATGTACTTTCTTGTCTTTTTTACTGAACTTCCCCTCAACTTCTTACTAATGCCTCTGAGTGCCTTCAAAATTCCATTCAGCCCCTATTTCTTTAATATAATTAGCTGAATTCTGCAGAAGGCCACTGGATCCTATTAAGTTCCTAAAAGCCAAAAGGAGACTCTTTAATACACTTGAAAATTCTCAGAAGGTTTAGTGAAAATCAGTTCAGATGTGTGGGGAGAATCTGTCATAATTCCAGTTTGAGATTCACATAGTTTTTAGGGAGGCCTTCCATTTCTTGCAGGATTGGTCTTTTCTTTAAATGTTTTCTTTGCACCAAGAACAATTCAGTCAGTACGAGAAGGCTGACCCAGTAGGCAACATTTGGTGGGGAAATTACTGAATGAAGAATACACAGACCGATATGTTTCATACCAACTGTATAAATGATTTACTGTTTGATCTGGGCAAGTTATTTGACCCCTTTGAGCCTTAGGATCCTTGGTGATAAGATGCCTTTCTTTGATGACACTCAGGGTTGTCATAAAGATGAAATGAAATTACTGATAGCAGAGAGCACTTTAAAGCATGCTAATTGCCATGGCATTACGGCATACTATTAGTACAGTAAAAGTAATTCACCATGTTCTTATATTAAGTATGGTGGGTATTTGCACTCCTTTGGTCTTTCATTTCTGCGTGAAACTTCAGAAGTAAGATTCTGCCAAGCACACCCTCCCCCTTGGAACTGTGTTTTTTATAAGCCCTCCTCATTTATCACTGCTTTTCCTACTTTTCCTTCAAGGATGTGCACGGATCACCCACACCTCTTGTAATTTCCTCAGTGATTGTTCCTCCTTGGCTGAATTCCTTGAGTACAGCTGCCATTTGGCCCATGGATTGTCACTTGGCCCCAGTCAGCTGGCTCTTAGCATCTCCTGTCTTAGTTATTTATGTTCTGAGTGCAAGGCCTACCTCTGTAACTAGAGTTTCTTTGAGGGTAGGGCTGAGATTTACACCTCTTTGCATCCTCAGCTCAGGCAATATATTTTCATTAACAGTGACTTTTGGCGATTGTACTGGGATAGATAGCATTCCCTGAAAATTCATGTCTACCTGGAATCTGTGAATGTGACCTTATTTGGAAACAGGGTTTTTGCAGAGTAATCAAGTTAAAATGAAGCCATGCTGAATTAGGGTGGGCCCTAAATCCAATGACTGGTGCCTTAAAGAGGGGGAAATTTGGACACATAGGAGACACAGGAAAAGGCCAGAGATTAACGGACAGAGGCAGAGAGATGGGAGTGACGCAGCTGCAAGACAAGGAACGCCAAGGATTGCCGGCAACTACCGGAAGCTAGGAAGAGGCAGAGAAGTATTCTCCACTAGAGTCTTCACAGGGATCACGACCCTGCCAACACCTTGATGTCAGGCTTTAGCCTCCAGAACTGTGAGGAAATAAGTTTCTATTGTTTTATGTCACTTAGTTTGTGGTAATTTGCTAGGCAGTCCTAGGAAACTAATACGGGAATGCTGAGCACAATGAGCAGGCTTGGAGTGTGGCAGATGCCCTTCGGGGCCACTATCCCACCTTGAGCAACGCACTTTCAGAAGACCTGAGGGGCCGCTTGGAGCAATGTTTAAGGGAAGGAAGGGAGTGATTAAAGGCAGTGAATAGAAAGGAGAGGGAATGAGCTGGGTATGGTCTGAGCATAAATCCAAAATGAAGTTTACAAACTTTATGTCGAAGGTGTTTTTAAAGTCTCTTCACAGAAAGTTTGAAACAAAATGGTTGATTTGGGAGTTGGAGATGGGGGAACAAGAGAGTGAATGATACCCAGTTTATGTTATATTCAAAATAGTAAAATTGAGCTCTTCGGGAGGAAGTGAGTGTGTGAGTGTGTGTGTGGATTCCCTAGCATGCCTTGTTTGAGATAACTGGAAGCTCCTGTGGTGTGAGCTGGGGCTGATGATAGCTGGAGGTCCCTTTGAATTCCAGTCCTGGAGGCCTCAGTTTCCCCAATGGTTAAGAGCATGGACACCAGACTTGGGTCTGAGTTCTGGCTACTTACTGGCAAGTTATTTCACCTCACTTGCCTCCCTCTCCTCATCTGTAAAATGAGAATAAAAATAGCACCTCCCTCATAAATTGTGAGGATTGAAAGAGTTAATTTGCATAAATTGCTTGAACAATGTCCTTGGTGTATAAACAGAAGCCTCAGTTTTTATCATCATCATCATGTGCAAATGTAGGAGGCCTGGGAACGGTAAAGTGAGCTTTAATAACTCTTCCCGAGGTCCCACTGGGGAGGAGATAAAGGCAACGTTGGTCATTTGCTTGAAAGTTAAGTCTGTAAAATGGAAATTAAAACATTCGGCAGGGTAGGCTCAGAGTCTCTCTACTGATGTGTGCAAACTCCCAAGCTCTGGGAGGAAAGAATGTGGGGTCCCATGCACTCTCCCTCTTTGGGATTCACTGGGGCCACGGGACCAGCCAAACCTATTGCAGGCCCTCAGTCAACCTGGACTGACGGAAGGGAGTAAGGCACAAAACAACGGGGATTGACTTGGGCGGTGCCACTCCCTGCCTGGTAAGGCAGGCCCTGCTGAGCCCTGGCCTGTGAAAGGACTTGGAGCCCTGACGGAAGACTTTGAAGTGCGTGAATGGCAAACAAGCGTAGCGCATCCACGTTACAAAGTTAGCATATTCACAAGAACTCTCTAGAAAGGCCGAGTCTTAGACATCGCTCAATTGGTTAAGTAGGTGTGTGCTTTCTTTCATGCAATTATTTGGTGAGCCAGATTGGGCCAGATGACTCGTCGGCACCGCCTGCCACCTGACCCCCGCTTGAAGGTAAAGAGGAAGGCTATTTGGCATGTAGGCACTGATTTAAAAACAACTTTGTGCCCTATTTATTGGGGAAAACGCTCCACCTTCCCACGCCGCTGACAATACTTCTCCAGGCTGCGCAGGACGCTCCTCGCCTTACCCATGAGAGGGAGCGCGCCTTCTGCCTCCGCTGGGCGGTTGCTGCAGGGCCCGGCGTCTGAGCGAAGCAAAGAGTCGCAGATGTGAGTCTGCTTTGTCACCGCTCTCTTAGCGACTTTGGGCAAGTCACTTAGCTCTCTCGACCTCGGATTTCTTGTCCGTTTAATGCGAGAGGGCACCGAACCTGGACGACACTCGGGGCAGCGGCGGAGAGTCAGGGGGCTCGGCTCGAGTGGGGTGAGCGCTGGCCGCAGCGGAGCGCGCCGTGCGCGCCTCGGAACTTTGTCCCAAGCACTGCGCGGGGACCCGGGAGTGCAGGGCGGGGAGCTCCCTCTGCGGGAACGCGGCGGCGGCGCTCCTCCTTTCTCCACACGTCACGGGGGCCGCTCGGCGCTTTCCCACCCCGGGCCGAGGGAGAGCAACTGCCTGGCAGGGCGACGGAGGAGAAGGACGGGAGCCAGTCGCCGCGGCCGCCGAGGGGCTGGGAGGCCGGAGTGCAGCCCGCAGCCCCCGCCGGGGCGACCTCTGCAGCCGCGGGGACCCCGCGTTCGGGGCTGCCCCGCTCCCTTTCGTAAGTCGACTTGGCCACGCTGGCAAGCGAGGAACGCCCAGGGTTGGGGGTGTCCCGCGGTGACGGGCGCGGGTCCCCTGTCTCAGCTGCGGGGCGGCGGGGGCGCCCCGACCCTCTCTTCCTCCCGACTTTCACTTTCCCGCCGGAGAAAACTTCGGCGCCACGTCCCTCTCGGGGATGGGGGTGGGGACGGGGGGCTCGTCGGGATCCCAGGCTGAGCCCTGGCCGCCTCCGCGCCAGGAGCCAGGGGTGACCCCGTGGGCGGACACAGAGGCGCAGACCGGGTGGGCAGCCCCCGCGTGCGCCTAGCGGACGCCGCAACTTCGTGGCTCCTGGCGGCGGCCGCCGCAAAGTTCGCCGAGGCCAACGCCGGGAGAGGGCGGCGGGCTGCGGGCGCCGTGCGTATCCTGGGAGATGCCGGGCGCGGCCCGGGCGCCGGCTCCCGGGCTTTCGGGCAGAACTGAGCGGCGAGGCCGGAGTCGCGGGCGCGTCTGCAGCGGTGTTTCCCGGGACTCTCTCCTAGTGGTGGGAACGCGGCTCCAGAACGCGCCCTTGCCGCGAGGAGGAGGACCCCGCTGTCCTGGCCCTTCGGGGCCGAGCGCCACCCAGATCCGCCCGCGCTGGTGAGGGGCGCCGAGGGTCCCCGACGCCCGCCTTTCGGAGCCGCCCGCAGCTTTTCTGCATCCCTGGTCCCTTGGGGCCCGGCGACGCTGCCAGAGCCCCCGCCCCTGGGCTTTGGGAGAGGGACGAGGGGACGAGAGGGGGCTGCTCTTGTGGCTTCTTAGGGCAGTTGGGAGGGGGTCCCAGTAGTTCTTTGGGGATCAGAAAGTGCTGGCCGCCCCTCCCAGGCCGCGCCCTTCCCAGAGACAAGATCCAGCGCTTGTTAAGGTCAAGTTTTGGTGTCGCAGAGTGGGCCAGGATAGTCCCCCTGCGAGGGGGCGGCACCTCCCCCAGCCGGCTGGGAGCCTCGGGGGTTGGAGCCAAGAGATCTGGACTCTGGAGTCTTTTCATCGTCTTTAGGCAAATGGTGCACGTGGTAGTGTTTTGTAGATTTAAGAGCTAAGCTTTACGGGATGGAGAGGTTTTCCGAGTCAAGTAGCCTGGGAAGCCTCTGTATTGTCCACTTGCTGGGCAAATTAGCCCCTGGGCACTTTTTAAATTCCTTTTTCTTGTCTTTAAAGTTTAAGAGCAACAAACCAGAAGATTAATGGAGTTGGGGATAATATTAATTCATTTAAATGTCTCATGTGGTTCGGTAGATACAGAAGTCACCTCTTTTTAATCTTGCATAAAATATGCCCGTTATTAAACCATCTATCAGCGTAAGACATTCTAGAAACTAACAGTCCGTTTTGACAGCTTTTGTTGATAGTGTCTTGAGGAAGCAAAATCTTTAAAATTGAATCATTACAGAGAGCAGTTCCTATGTTGTATTTTCCAAGGATCCAATTCTGTGTAAGAAATGACCGATTAAGACGTTGTTGAATTATCTCTTACTTGTATCAGGAGAGAAATAATAGCCAAAGAATCGGGTTGAGAGGCACTGAATTCCCCCGCCCCAACATTAAAAGGAGAGTTTCCTTGGTGGGTGAGGAGGTAACATGGCTAAAAGTCACATCTCCTGCACAGAGGTAGGTAGAGGAGAATGGCACAATTGGGCAATGAGTCAGAGTTGGCCCTTGATGGCACTGGGTTAAGTACCTTCAGGATAAGCAGGCCATGACTATAGGTACTTACCAAGCTAATTTTGAATGACCTGAACTCATTTTCCAGGCAGGGAGGAGGAGAGAGGGCAGGTAGAGTCTGTACCTGACAGTGCTGTTCCTGCCTTTCCCTTGAGGAGCCACTGGTGTTAGGAGCATGACCTGGTGACCTGGGGCTTATCATAGCACCACATACCAGGAGTAAAACTGAAACAGCTTCAGAGGATTTCCTTCTTAGGCTAGGAGGCAGGAAGAAAGCAGTAAGATAGTACAGTTGAGCAATGAAAGGTTGAAAAGTGAATTCATCAGTCCATGTGTGTTGAGCAGTGGCTGCTGTGGGGCACAGGTGTGCTGCAGCTCAGCACATCTGGGCTGTAGGCGAGAGGTCTTCTTGGGGAGGTTGAAGGTGGACCCAGGGAGCAGGGAGGAGGAAAGGGCAGTATTCCCACCCCAGGGAATAGAGTGTGCTGAGACCAGAGGAGAGCTGAGCTGGAAGGGTTGGCGGAAAGACAGATCCAGTATGACTGAAGGGAGAGTGGAGAATGGCACCAAAGACCTCAGCAGGTACCAGGGGGAGGTGATGCCAGGCCATGGGGCCATTGTGTGGAGTGAATCTTCCGGCCAGTTTCACACCTAAAAGTATCCCGATGAGATGTGGATTCAAAATGAAACAAAACTCCAGCTTCTGTGTGGAGAACGGATTTGAGGAGCCCTAAGGCAGATGGGCTGGTTCGGAGGGTACAAGAGGCCTGGCAGTTGAGGCTGCACTAGTGGCAGTAGGGATGACACAGCAGGTGGATTCAAGACCAACTCTGAAGCGACTTGGAGACTAGCTTTGTGTAGGGTGTGAGAGTGCAGCGTGACTCCAAGTTTGGGTGCTGCTATTTACAGACAGGGAACATTGGAGGAGGAGCAGGTTTCAGGAGGAACGACAAGTTTGCTTTTGTTGAGTCTGGGCAGCTTTCGAGGCTCCCAAGTGGAAATGCTTCCCAAGTGGCTGTCTAGAGCAAAGCCCTGGCTGACTCTCCAAAGCTGGTCGTCATCTGTGTTAGGGTGGGGTTTGAAGCCTGGGGTGTATGAGAAGGGGAAGGGGATGGTAGCTGAGGACTGGAAGCTGCTCTCAGAGTGGGAGATGGGATAGAGGGATAGCTGTTTTAAGATGAGGGAGCTTTAGACATATTTAAATATGCCTGGGATGGAGCAAGTTAGAAGGAGAAATAGAACATTCAGGATATCTGGACCCCCTCCCCCTTGGGTTATTAGGTAGAAAACAATCTGATTGTGGTGGTATTTTGATATCAAACTCATATAACATAAACTGTCAACATCTTACAGAAACAATATTTTGAAGCACATATGACTGCGCATGATTCACTTCATAGATCATTCAAATATAATGTTTAGGAGAAACATAGATGATGAGCATGCAACAGAACTGCCGTGTGGCTAAGAGCAAGCCCCCTGCGACGAGACTGCTGAGCCCCTGGTTCTGGCTCTGCCACTCCCTTGCTTAAGACCTGGCACAAGCCTCCTGACCTTTCTGTCTTGGTTTCCTGGTCTCTGAAAGGGTACCCCACCTAAGGGGTACATGCTCTATAGCACCTCCTTGTGGGATGTTGTAAGGATTGCATGTGTACATCATGCATGCACAATGTATGCATCATGTGTGCATTATGCCTAGCACATAGAGTGCTCCGTAAGCCTTAGTATTGGTGGTTTTATTATGATGATGCCATTTCTATCACTTCCAGTTGTAGAATCTAAGACCCAGAGAATTTTGAGAATCTATCCAAGGCCATAGAGCCAAAGAGTGGCAAAGTTAAGCCAGGATCCCATTTGCCTTGCGCACAGGCATGGGCACCTTCCACTTAGCATGTCAACAAGTGTCAGGTGCTGGGTGCTGTATGAAATTAACTCTAATAAAAGGATCCAGTCACTGCTTGCCAGTGTGTAGTGAAGCAAAGCAGATAACATCAACATTGTGGCTTATAGACTTTTCCCAAGAAATTTATAGATGTATGTTTTGTATTAATTTGCATTGCTTTACATGTCATTTATATGCATTCCCATATGCTAGTAATTTTCCTAGTGGGATCCAAAGACTGAAGCTTCAAGTATATAATAGAAAATAAAATTAATCAGGAATTGAATGCAGCTGTTTCAGTCCTAATAGGTTCCTGGGAATGGTGGGCTCAGTGTGGGCTTTTGGGAAAAAGATTGGATCAGTATTTACTATCTTAGAAGACGTGGAGAGCCAGATGTCATTTGATAAAAGCAGCTCACAACTTCGTATGTTATGAAGCTTGATCTGCTGAACATAATAGAAAAATACAGGAAAAGTGGAAGGAGACCAAAGGAAAATTGTCTGTTATATAAAATGCCAGAAAATGAAGCAGAAGCAGCAACAGAAGTCTGCTTTATGAAGCTAAACTAATAGGAAGCGTTAAGGGCCAGAAAGTAAAGACTGAGTTTTTGCTAAACAATATGAAGTTTTGGAAAGAATATAATCTTAAATACAAATGTATGAGATGTCAAAACCAATAAATTCTCCATAATTTGGACTTACTGAGAAACAGGCCATTTGCAGTAAAATCTTAGAACCACAGAGTATTAAAAAAAAAGTATAATTTTGTTACTTAGAGCAGTGGTTCTCAAAGTGTGGTCCCTGGACCACTTGCATCAGCATCAGCTGGGAACGTGTCAGAAATGCACATTCTGAAACCACTCAGAGCAGCTTCTGGAGATGGGGCACAGCAATTTGTGTTATAATATAGTAAGTCCTCTAAATGTTTGGAGCCACTTTTCATCCCTCCTTTGAATTTTTACTTTCTCAGCAGCCTTAACCTTCCCATTTCCCTCCTGTGGTCACTAGCTTCTCACTGTGTTGCTTAATTTTCATTAGTTCCTATCCCAGTGGAGGGTTGTAACCAGACAAGCCCATTTCTCAAGAGCATCTGCTCAGGACAGAGCAGAGCAAGGTGGGCCGGTCCCGTCTTTGGTCCCAAGGTCTAAACTGATGGAAGATGCTTTCCAAGATCCCCCTCAGCTTTAGCATTCTATAGGTCTGCGGTTCTCATGCTGTCCGGGACCACATTGATTTTGTTTTAGGTTTTGTTTTGGGTTTTGTTTTGCTGCCTTGTTTTGCTTTTGGCAGTCTTATAGGAAACAAACTGTGACTCATACCAAACATGCAGTCAGCCGAAACACTGAACTGTTCTCTACAGATGCTCCTGTTAAACCACATTTCTCCATTAACCGCATTTCTCCATTAAAGAGTGCAGTTAATTTTTTGGACCTAAGTGTTAGTTTTGTATTTATCTCAGTTAAATTTCATCTTACTAGATCCAAGAAATCTGTTTG